AAACTTGCAGAAGGCATGATACTGAATGACAGCCAGCATGACTTTGTTGTGGGCAGGTCTTGTCTGACCAACCTCATTTCTTTCTATGATCAGGTGACTTGTCACCTGGATGAGAGAAAAGCAGTTGACATCATGTACCTCGACTTCCAGAAAGTCTCTAACCTGGTATCCCACGAAGAACCGATCAGAAAACTGGAAGATATTGGGCTCAACTGTGGGACCGTCAGGTGGGTGCAAAACTGGTTGTGGAGTAGGACACAGAGAGGCCAAATGAATGGTTTGGTGTTGTCCTGGTGAGCTGTGGAAAGAGGCATACCCCAGGGGTCGGCATCTTCATCAATATCTTCATCAATGGCATTTCACTGGTACACTGGATGAGGGAGTGAAAAGCCCAAGTTCATGGATGACACTAAGATATGGGGTTGTGTGGACACACCCGCAGATAGGATGCAGATACAAGCAGACCTAGATGGCCTGGCATATTGGGCAGAATGGAACCAGATGAAGTTCAATGTAGAGAAATGCAAAGTGCTGCATCTGGGAAGGAAGAAACCCCAGCACACCCACAGGTGGGGCATTGCTAACCTGACCAGCACTACAAATGAAAGGGACCTGGGGGTAACAATAGACCTCAGCATGAATATGAGCCAGCAATGTGATGCAGTAGCCACTAGGGCCAATAAAACACTGGCATGCGTCAATCAGTGCATCTCCAGTAAATCCAAAGAAGTGATTCTCCCACTTTACTCAATGTTGGTGTGGCCGCAGCTGGAGTATTGCGTCCAGTTCCGGGTGCTGCACTTCAACAAGGATGTGCTAAAGCTTGAGAGGGTCCAGAGAAGGGCCACCTGCATGATCAGGGACTTGCATGGCAAGCCATATGAGGAGAAGCTGATGGATCTCAGACTCTTCAGCCTAAAGAAAAGAAGGCTGAGAGGGGATCTGATTGCAGCTTACCGCTATATCAGAGGCATTAATCAGGGGCTCGGTGAACAACTGTTCACTAGGGCACCCTGGGGGAAAACTAGAAACAACGGCCACAAACTCCTGGAAGATAATTTCAGGCTGAACATTAGGAAAAACTTCTTTACAACTAAGGTGTCCAGACTATGGAACAAGCTCCCCCACTCCCAGAGGTGGTGCAATCATCTACCCTAGATGGCTTCAAGAGAAGATTGGACAGTCACCTGGCTGAGGTCATCTGAACCCAGATGTCTTTCCTGCTTACGCAGGGGGTTTGTTCCAATGATCCTTCAGGGTCCCTTCCAGCCCTATGATTCTATGATTTAAATAGTGTCATGGACAGTGCTAGCTGGCTTAGCCTGTGGTGAGCAGTTACATACTCCTTGAGCTTTACTCTCCTTGACATCCCAACACACCTACCTCTTGTAGGTAAGCAGAGGTATTAAATGGTTCTGAAGAACTGGCAATATAATACAGTTAAACAAGTGATCAACACATCAAGAAGTGGCAGAACAGCAACACACAGACACTAAACTCTGAAAGAAGGGGGAAATCCTTCTTCAGATACAATAGAAAGAAGAGTCAAGGTAAAAAAAATCACAAAAATGTGCAACTACTACATGTTGAAATGCCAAGTAAATGGACCGAGTTCAACCTTAATACAAAAATATTTCAGTGCAGTGGTATCCAGTTGCCAATACAAGGTAAATGTGTGTGTGTGTGTGTGGAGAGGGAGTGAAAGGCAAGATCAATGGCAACATGCTGCCTGTTCCCTGCCCTTGCAATCTTTTCTCTGCCTGCTTCTCCCCTTCCTGAACTGTTGTTAGGAAGCTGAGTCTGAGAAGCTGTATTTTTGCTAGGGAGTGAGCATAATGCATGAGTTCTGACCTACAGCAAAGGTGTATCTGCTTCCCATGTGGCCATCTGTGTGTCCTATCCCTCGAAGTCAGATACCCTGGACGGTTCAAGAGCCCTTAAAGGGGAAGGAGACCCTCAGATGGCCACTTTAGCATGATCATCAAGGACCATACATGCTTTTGGGCCTGCTGGAGCTGCATGCCTCCAGCAAGTACAATTCTGAATGGGCAGGAAAGCCATGCTGGTCGCTGTTGGCTCTTGGGAAAAGGAGGCAGCAGAAGAGGTTGTCCTACACCCTTTATACCTGGGCTTGCCTTTCTTGCCTCTCCTTAAGGTGCTTTTGCTCCTATTCCCATCCCTTTCCAATACTCCACGAGGAGGAAAAATTCATCACCATACTGCTATACATCTGAGGGGGTGTCATTAATTGCCCAGTGCTGCAAAGTCCTCACTGTCAGCCATGGTAGAAGTATCCTACATCAGAAGTGGCCTGGGAATGGGACATACGTGCAGAGGAAAGGATGTACACAACTCTTATTCCTGTCCTTTTTTTAAAAATGTGAGAGGGATTCCCTCTGACATTACTGCAGATGCACAAGACCACTATTTGCAGCTTCCATCAAAACTCCATTTTTGGGCTGCTCCTTTCAAAGGCTGGCTGTCCAAAGGTCTACAGCTGTAACTGGCTCAGAAAATCACATGATGATGAGCTATTTCACTTGCTAAAAAAAAAAGAGCCTAGGTGAGGGATCAATGCCTTTTTTGTGTCCTTCACTGGCAGGGTGAGGAGGATGCTCTTAAGGTTCCTTCATGATCCTGATCTTTTATCTTGAGGAGATAAACCTAATACTGTTAGAGGCAGGATACTATGACAGGTGGATGTTTGGTCTTATTCAGTATGGAGTATGGTGCTCTACACAGGAGGTCCAGAATGTAGTAGAAAAAGGATGTGGTCCCCTGAACCTGTGGTAGGAAGTCCTCAAAATATGCTCAATAGCCTTGTAATTTTGCTTCGTATTTCAGAATGCAAGATTTTTTTTAGCTAGAGAGGTGATCTGGCACAATTTATCTTACCTCTTAACCTGACTGACTGGTTTGAGTGCATACTCCAGGAGAAATTTACATTTATCACTTCTCAAGGGTGTCACAAGCCCAGGAGAAGCACGAACAAATCCTGAAGTGAACTCTCTCTTGGCACTGACTCACCATGCTGTTTCCCCTTCCTCACCAAAATGGAGCTGAGGTTCCTTATAGATTCATAGATTGTTAGGGCCTGGAAGGGACCTCGCAAGTTCATTGGGTCCAGCCCCCCCTGCACTAGCCAGGAAAGACAATTGGGGGTCAGGTCACCCCAGCGAGGTGACCGTCCACTCTTCTCTTGAAAATTTCCAGGGTAGGTGATTGTACCACCTCTGGAGGGAGTTTATTCCACAGTCTGGACACCCTAACTATGAATAAGTTTTTCCTAGTGTTAAGCCTGAAATGATCTTCCAGGAGTTTGTGGCCATTACTCCCCATTTTCCCCAAGGGTGCCCTGTTGAACATTTGTTTGCTGAGCCCTAGATGTATGCCCCTGATATAGTGGTAAGCTGCTACCAAGCCCCCTCTCAGCCTGCTCTTTTTTAGGCTGAAGAGACCTTTCAGCCTTTCCTCATATGGCTTGCCTTGCAAGTCTTTGATCATACTGGTGGCTCTTCTCTGGACTTTCTCAAGTTTTTCCACATCCTTGTTGAAGTCTGGTACCCAGAACTGGATACAGTACTCCAGCTGTGGTCTCACCAATGCTGAGTAAAATGGAAGAATCACTTCTCTGGTTTTGCTTGAGATGCATCTTTTGATGCATGCCAGAGTATTGTTTGCCCTGCTGGCTACAGCATTTCATTGATGGCTCATGTTCATACTATGGTCTATTATTACCGCTAGGCCCCTTTCAGTCCTGGTGCTAGTCAGTTTGGTGCCACTGAGCCTGTAAGTATGTTGAAGAGTTTTTTGTCCCCAGATGGAGTACTTTACACTTCTCAATGTTGAACTTCATCTCGTTCCAATCTGTCCAACTTGCCAGCCTGTCTAACTCTGCCCGTATCTGTAGCCTATTTTCAAGCATGACCATGCTACCTCATAACTTGGTGTCATCCGCAAAGTTGGCAAGTGAGCTCTTCACCTCCACATCCAAATCATTGGTAAAGATGTTGAATTGCACTGGGCCAAGCACCGACCCCTGTGGGACACCACTGGCCACTTCTCATCAGGACGACACAAATCTGTTTATTAGAACTCTCTGGGTCCTACCCTGCAGCCATCTCCCTACCCACCTAACTGTTGAGTGGTTAAGCCTGCAATCCTCCAATTTTCCCATGAGAACATCATGGGATACTAGATGAAAGGCCTTTTGGAAGTCTAGTTATACAATGTTGACCTCCTCTCTCTTATCCAGGTGGTGAGTTACCTGGTCATAGAAGGAGATGAGATTGGTAAAACGAGACCTGCCCAGAATGAAGCCATGCTGGCTGTCATTCAGAATCCTACATTCTACAAACCTTTTGCACATAGACTCCTTGATGAATTTTTCTAGGATTTTCCTTGGGATAGAAGTTAGGCAAACTGGCCTATCGTTACTAGGGTCCTCTATCTTCCCCTTCTTGAAGATGAGCACAACGTCAGCCCTCTTCCAGTCTTCAGGGACCTCCCCCAAATGCCACAAGTTTGTTTGGTTTTTTTGCCCCTTACATGAGGTAAGGGTGGAGGCAGAAAGGAAAGCAGGTTTGTTCCATCTTTCCTGGGAAGACATAGTTCACAGGTCATTGGGACCATGAAGAAAACCCAGTTATATTTTCTCCTACTTTGGATGGTGGAGAGAGTCTACAGAAAAAGCCACCATAAAGATGGAGGCCTTGATGGGTCATTCCGTATCCAATAGCCTGGGATATGGAAACCAATCCCTTCAATGTGGGTTTTTGAGCTTGTAAAGAGTGAGCCGGGACTGATATTGGGGAAATATTGGATAGTCCCCAAGTAATGCAAGTTCACATTTCTGCTTTTGAGTCCAGATTAGTGTAAAGGTGCATTAGAAGGGTATGCTGCATGCTGGTGAGGGACTGTCTCTTATTTAATCTCATCTCAATGTCTCCTGGCAGATGTGGGATACAGCTGTTGGCATTATGTCATGCCATCGATAGTTTGTAAATACACTCTGGAGTGCTTGCATTGTGCTTCTTTATTTTAATTTCCCATTTTTGCTGGTATGTAGAGGATGGTGTGGTGGTGGGATTAGGCATGTGTGGTGATGGGTGGGCTTTCTAATGCAGTGCAAAATTATCTCCTAGTTTCAGCTGTGTGACAAAGTTACTGGCATAAGAAATTCATTGATGACAGTGTAATCTGAGTGGGGTGCCTACATAGGAGTCCCTGCCTATTCCATTTTCTCCTTTCAGTGAGCAGGGGGAGGAGTGCATGACACACATCCTCCAAGAAACTTCCATCTCCCTTTCCAAACAACATAATTAAAAATGAGAGACTGCAGTAGCTGAGATGAGGCTCAGAGGTAGTCTCTGCTTCAGTGCTGTCCTTTCAGAAGGGCTTTTGGAAAAGCTCACTGACTGTACATGGTGATGGTGTCCTCCTGGAGCTCCTCTGGGATTCTCATGATGCTGAATACTATGCAAGTGGGCTTTTGAATCCCAACTCAGGTGTCTGTATGTGAATGCATGGAGCCTGGGAAACAAGCAGGAAGAATTGGAAGCCATCACACAGAAATGGAACTATGACATGATTGGAATAACAGAGACTTGGTGGGATAGCTCATATGACTGGAGTACTGTGTGGATGGGTATAAACTGTTCAGGAAGGACAGGCAGGGGAGAAGGAGTTGCTTTTCAAGTAAAAGAGCTGTTTGATTGCTCAGAGCTCCAGTATGAAACTGGAGATAAGCCTGTTGAAAATCTTTGGGATAGGGTCAGAGGGGATAGCAACAAGGCAGATATCATGGTGGGTGTTTACTATAGACCACCAGACTAGAAGGATGAGATGGATGAGGCTTTCTTGAAATAGCTAGCAGAAGTTTCCTGATGACAGACTATGGTTTTCATGGGGGACTTCAATCACCATGACATCTGCTGGGAGGGTAATACAGCAGTGTACAGGCAATCTAGGATGTTTTTGGAGAGTGTTGGAGACAACTTCCTGGTGCAAGTGTTGAAGAGCCAGGTAGGGGCTGTGCTCTTCTTGACCTGTGCTCACAAACAGGGAAGCATTGGTGAGGGAATGTAGAAGTGGGTGACAACTTGGGCAGCAGTGACCACAAGATGATCAAGTTTAGGATGCTAAGGAAAGCACTTGGAGGAGAAGAAGGGGATTAGGGACAGTCAGCATGGACTCACCAAGGGCAAGTCATGTCTGACAAACCTGATTGCCTTCTATGGTGAAATAACTGGCTCTGTGGAGGAGGGGCGAGCAGGGGACATGATGTACCTTGATTTTAGCAAGGATTTTGATATGGTCTCCCACAACATTCTCACAAGCAAGCTAAGGAAGTACGGGTTAGATAAATGAACCGTAAGGTGGATAGAACACCGGCTGTATCATTGCACTTAAAGGGTAGTCTTCGGCAATCCTTCACAGCTGAGAATGATTGTCTTCCATGATTTTCTTATCTGTATGTCTGAAGAGGGCTAATGAGGCCAATCCAGGATCAACAGACTCTACTGAAGCTTGGACATATGTTTCTGTGTAGTGTGGGTGGCACTGGATTTTTGATTTAGTCTGTGACGTGCTGTTTCTGCCGCTCCCGCTTTTCAATCTCCTGTTGTTTTTTTGAGGTTTCAAAGTGCTGAGAAACCTGCAGCAGACTTTTCCTTCTTTTGGGGCCATCCTGGGCAGTAGTCTTCCATGAGTTGACATCAATGTCACATTTTTTTAAGTTGGTCTTGAGGACGTCCCTGAAGCACTTTCTCTGCCCTCTTCTTGAGTGTATGCCTTGGCTGAGCCGGGAGAATAAAACTTGCTTTGGAAGTCTGGAGTCAGACATCTGGATGACATGGCTGGCCCAGCCAAGTTGATGTCAGATGATTGTTGCCTCAATTCTCATGGAGTTTGTTGCAGAAGGATGCTAACATTGGTGCATCTGTCTTTCCACTGGATTTGGAGGATCGTCCTTAGGAAGCACTGATGGTACGTCTCCAACAACTTTATATGACTCCTATATGTTATCCATGTCTCAGCATTGTACAGCAAGGTGTGGAGGCTGGCTGCTTGATAAACCATGAGCTTGGTTTTGGATTTGATGTCACAATCTTTGAACACCCATTTCTTTAGGCATTCAAAGGCTGTACTTGCACATTTGAGGCAATGTTGGAGAAATGGCTTCTGAGGTACTGGAAATAACATTCTTCAGAGTCTTACCATGAATTTTGATTATTGGATCAGGGGACTGTTCATTAGGAGCTTGTTGGTGGAGGACCTTAGGCTTCTGCATCAGTCCCATTTTCTTGTATACCTTGGCAAAGACATCAACAATTGCCTGAATGTCTGCTTCTAAGTGAGCACACATTACCGCATCATTGAAGTACTGGAACTCAGTGATCAAGGTCAGGATGGTATTGTTTTAAAACACTGGAACAGGTTATCCAGAGAGGTTGTGGAATCTCCATCCTTGGATGTTTTTAAGACTTGGATAAACAAAGCCGTGGCTGAGATGATCTGGTTGGGGCGGGTCCTGCTTTGAGCAGGGGGTTGGACTAGATAACCTCCTGAGGTTCCTTCCAACCCTAATTTTTTATGATTCTATTAAATGATATCCCCCTCCCCTCAATAAATCTCACTCCATGTCCCCTTTTATCAGTACCATGGGCTCAATTTTTGGTTGAAGGAAGGTTGGGGTGGAGGCAGCTGGTTATGGGACTTGGTGCATGGAGCATCTCTGAGCATTTGATTAAACCGGTATGTGTCAGAGCCATTATCAGGCCTGTTGCTGCTGTTCCTGGTGCAAGTGTATGCTTGTGTCATACTTTTCAAATGCTTCCTACTCCACTGCCTTTTCTAGTTAGTGCTCACTGCCACATACCTCTGTGAAGTTTGCCTGCTTTCTGAGCTGTGTCCAAAGTCATGCTCACTGGCATATTCTTTTCATTGATTGATGGGAATTCAGTTGGGTTCTGCTGGTTGACCTGTCAGAGGGTACTGGTTTAGTAGCAGGTCCCTGGGATGTCCTGTAAGGAGCATGAGGGAGCAAATGGTACATAGGGCATTAACTATGATAGCCTAGTCAGGGCAAAGAGGGGTTTTGTGAGGCAGCCCTGACAGGAAATAGTGGGACTGATATTGATAGACATATGTAATCATCTCCTGCAGTGTGCAAGTCCATTTGCTCTATACTGTGGGAAGCAGGACTTCTCATGCACAAGCTAGGGCACATGATTGCTCAGACTCTGACCCCAAAACATGCTTCTGGCATTTGCTAAATGTGTGTGAGGGGACAATGATATAGATGGTTGACATGTTTAGATTTAAAAGCACACTCAGGTTCACTAACAAATACTGTAGTTTAGATATGCTCTGAGTGTCTTGAGGGGTTTATTACATTGTTAGAGCTTAAATAAAAAGTGCATGTGCATATGCAAGGGTTTGCACACTTATATACAAGTTTCTTTATATATGTAATGAACATTTGATTTTGTGGTTCAGGAACACAACACTTACCTGGTCAAAAAGTTGCGATTTGTTAACTTGTGGCAGATCAGGCACTAGAGACAGACAAAAACACTCTGCCAGTGTGGGATGCACACACAGTTGTGTGTGGTAATCCACAAGTGCAATTTATGAAGCTCAGTACTAGAAATGTTTTAATGAGACACAAGCAATATTTGTTGTTCAGCATTCTTCAGAACTACAAACACTTAGCTACTGAACATCTGAACAATCAGTTGTTCATTCTGTATTTGGGAAATGTCTTTTCTGTATCTGGATACTTGTGCTCACATGGAAAGGGAGCCAGACATGAACAAGAATGCTTGGTGTTCTTAGTCACTTATTGTTTTAAACCAGGGTTTTTCAACCTTTTTTGGTTGGTGTACCCCTGGTGGCCGGTCGAGAAGTGGGGAGTCCTTTGGTGGCCAGTCAATGAGTAGTGCAGGTGGTGGTTGATGAGTGGCGGGGGAGTCTCACAGTGGTCAATCGATGATGGGGGGGAGGTCCCCCTGGAACTGCCAGTGGCATGTGGCAGCAGAACCTGAAGTGCCGGTGGCAGAAGTGGTGCAAAGTGCTGGTGGCCCCACCCCCCGCTTCTCCATGCCACTGCCACATACTCCCTGGGGCCTTCCCAAGTACCCCTGTTTTAAACATATTTCTGTCAAAACTTGTTAGAAAAGAATCAACAACTGCCCACTCAGGCAGAAGAAATGATACAAAGTGCTACATGTGTCTAGTCACAGACCAAATAGTCTATTAAGTTACCAGTTCACAAATTTCTGTTGTCTGACATTTCTTTGCTTAAGAAGCAGTGGTTCCTAAACTTTTTGGACCACTGTCAACCCTCAGAATTTCTCATGGGTTTACTTCCTTTACCTCCTCTCCTTTCTGCAGAATACTTATCATAGCCTCACAGGTCACCAGTGGCTTGTGGACAAGCACTATATTAAACTATTCCACAACTACTTCAGGATAATGAGTACTTTCTAGAAACCAGGATTGCATGCAAACAGATTAAAGGACTAAATTTATTGGATTTATTCACAATGAATAATTCAAGTAGTCTTACTCAAGATTGATTATTTGTTTTTCCTTGAAGTGAAAGACTGTTAATGGACAGAAAGGAAGGCTTAGGAGTTTAAGCATTACGCACGGAATGCCAGTTTCAAATACAGGAGTTGTCAATTTTTCTTTTTTTCAGATGAAAGTAGCTGTGGTAACATAAAACAGTTTAACAGGTATCAGAGTCTTTCATATGAAACTTGGAAAGCTGAAGGCTAGATCCTCAGAGGTACATAACATGGGCATTGCAATCCATTTTAGTGAGCTGGTGGAGAATGCTTAATTTGAGAATACCACCTTCAGGGTTTTAGTTTTTGCTAAGGCTCTGAGCAGCTCATTATTTATGGGTTGTAATCTTCACTTTAGAGATTGGTGATACCTACCAAAGTCTGGGGCAGCAGCTTTGGTTTTGGTTTTAAGGATGTTAGTGGTACCAAAATGGTGGACATAGGTACCTTTGAAGATAGGGGCATGAGGTCCTGTGTGACAAGAACCCAGAATTTTTCATTAGAAGAGGTGTTCATCCAGGTTCCTTGGCCAAAGCTTGCTTTCTTGTCTGATAAAGGGCATGTTAGATGACTGCTGCTCATCCCTCTAGAATCAGTTACTCATGCAGTAGGTATAATGTGGCACCACCAACATACTGTTGAAATTGTGACATAGTAGGATTTTACCCCAGCTTTGCAGAAATATATGTAATCACTGCAGCTGCCAGGCAATGGAGCATCAGATTCAGACTCTGCATCACAGATTTTTCTGAAAAGTAGGGAAAGATTTCATATGCTCGCCTGTTCTGAGAGATTTGATTATGTGGTGTTCAGGCTGTTTGGCTATAAGAGGAAGGATCTGTTCTTGCCTATTTTGTACTTCAGCTATTCTACTGGCAACCAATGAAACTATGGATCCTCCCCCTCTATGCAACACTAGTCAGGCCGCAGTTGGAGTACTGCGTCCCGTTCTGGAGGGATGCGGACAACATGGAGAGGGTCTAGAGGAGGGCCACTTGCATGATCAGGAGGCAGCAGGGCAGGCCCTACGAAGAGAGGCTACGGGACCTGAACCTGTTCAGCCTCCACAAGAGAAGGCTGAGGGGGGATCTAGTGGCTGTTTACAAACTAATCAGAGGGGACCAGCAGGCATTGGGGGAGTCCCTGTTCCCCTGAGCACAACCAGGAGCGACTAGAAATAACGGTCACAAGCTGGCAGAGTGTAGATTCAGATTAGACATCAGGAGGCACTACTTCACTGTCAGGGCGGCTAGGATCTAGAACCAACTTCCATGAGAAGTGGTCCTGGCTCCTACCCTGGGGGTCTTTAAGAGGAGGCTAGACGAACACCTTGCTGGGGTCGTTTGACCCCAGTACTCTTTCCTGCCATGGCAGGGGGTCGTACTTGATGATCTGCTCAGGTCCCTTCCGACCCTACCAACTATGAAACTATGAAACAGAGTAAGTCCTTCTGGAAACGGTGTCTCCACAAAGTGTGGAATACAAGGAAACATGCTGGGTGAGGCAGCAGGTACTTCCTGGTGTGGTTGGATAGCCACAAGACTAGCCCCAGGCTTTTGCATGGTAGCAAGACTGGTATGATATATGGCATATAGTTTGGTATATAGTTATCTTTATTGTATATAGTTCTTGATAAAAGTTCTTGTAAAGCCTCATCACTGCATGCAGCAGCTCACTTGTTCATAAAGTCCTCAGGCTGTAAAAGGGTTAACACTGGGTTCTGCTTCAGTTTTTCAGGTCACAGAGAAGGGGCAGATATTTTGGAAGTTATGTGTTACAGTATCTGTTTGTTTCTAGTTCAGCAAATAAAATCAGCATCCCAACTTTAGATACCCATTGCAATTTTGGAGGCCTGATTTTGGGGGAAAAGAGAGAGATGCATGTGGTATGTGAGTAAATATGGTATTACTAGTGCAGTGGTATATTAAAAAAATTCTGTGCAGTGACTCCTACTTTTAAATATGGAACTAAGAAACAAAGTGGTGAAATATCCACAGGGTATAGGCTCTGACATTGAGTTTGAATGAATGCAGCCATAAAAAAGCTGAGATTTTGGAGGTGTATCAGGAGAGGTATCAACAATAAGGATAGGGCTGTATTCTATC